TTTTTTTGTATTCCCTCTAAGACAAATCAGATTCAACCTAATTTCGTCGTGCAAGTTTTTTTCTTGAAAGGGATTTTGTGGAAAAGCTATGAGTTTGGGTTTATTAAAAAAAGCTTGATGATTTATTAGGAAGAATTGTGCGACGGATTTGAAATTCGTTGTACAGTATTTTGCGCGGGTCCTTATATACAACGCTTGCAGTGTGAGGCACACAGTTTATGAAGGCAGTAAAGGAAAGTTTATATTTTTTCAATTGAAAATTTCCTCATTCTTTCTATCTTCTCCCTTGCTTTGAAATACAGTGAATCTTGCTCTTAGATAAATTAATATATTTATTTATATACATACAGTAAATATATTCAGTACATAATTCCTCTCCTGTCTCTCATTTTTCCTCACTTTTTTTTCTGGCTCCTGTTCCTGATTTCGAGGCTAATGTTGTGGAAGAAATTTTACTCTCTTGCACAGAAATGCACCATAGCTGCAATTACCTCAATAATGCCCCTCTTCCGAGAACCATTGTGAGGAAAATATTGCCCCGAGTAGCATCGTTCTAGCAAGCTGACAATTTTTCTGAAAGCCAGCCAGCCATTCAGTAAAATGGTGTCTTATTCAAACCCTCTATAGAAAATTAAGGCAAATAACCCTGAGGAATAATTTTCTACTTATCATGAATCTTCACTTTTTCGCCACTATGCACGAAGGCAAAAAATGAACGAGTTCGCAAACCTGGGAAGCACTGCACAAATGCGTACATCAATTTTCTTAAAAATAAAAGTAAAAGCTCTGCACAGTATTATTTCGCAAGAATGGCGGAAAAAATATAAAAATTCGAAGTGCGAATTGAGCTCCATATCTTCCCGATTTCTCCTGTGCTCGGAAGCGTATATAGTGGGAAGACATTTATTGAATTAGCAAAATTTTTTTTGCACGGTAGACCCGCAGAAAACAAATATCCCTTACAAACGTTTGATGCCTGACATTAACATGCGAACTGAGGCGTTTGCTCTGTCCAAGTGAAAGGTCGAAGTGCGTTTCTACAGTTTGTGTACATGCACAACTAACATTGCGCTGGACATAATTGAACGCGTTGTGATCTATACAAAGAACATTTGTCTAGTGCCCCATGACCGATGAGAAAATAAAACAGCAATTTATCTTCGTTCTTCACGAACTGCGTCCGAGCTTCAAAAAGAAAAACATTTCCGGAGCCTAGAAGATAATCTCTTGAGCAGCTCAAGACTGGGGTATTTGAAAGGCGTAGAGTTTATATCCTTGTGAACCATAGAAATGGTGAAATTACAGAGTTTAAAAAATGACAGAGTAATTTCTTATACAATGCATAAAATTCTGCAGTGGAATGAGAAATTCTGAGTGAAGCAATTCATTGAAGTCCTCGTCGTATACCTGCAAGCGAAGAGTTTGAAAAACATCAAATATTCATTGATTTTGTAATCACCTATTCACCTTTGATGTTTCACTGGCGAAAATATTGCTGCAATTTTCATGCAAAATCTCAGTATGCCATATATTGCCTCAAAAATGAACGAAAAATTTATCAACAAAAGTAATGTAATGTTTTGCTTCTAGATTTGCTTGAAAAATTCCGTTAATTCGGAAAGACTTGAATTCTTGAATGAACCTCAATTAAATCCGCTAATTGACTATAGGCATGAAAGTTTTAACTCCACTGCTTTTAAATCTTTTATTACGTCTGTGTCTTTTAAGAGTTCTTATAAAGGTTTACTAAGCTAGTATAGACATGATAAAGCTTAACGATTAAAACATAGGACATGTTCTGAAAAAGCGGGTTTTAAAATATTCGAAAGAACGATGACGATTCGATCATATATCTGTAATATTCCACTCATTAATTTTTAATCCTCGTGTTTTCAAAAAAAAAGGGTTTAAAAATTTTCAAAAGAACGAAAACCTCCAAATTGCAGGACAGCAATAGTTTCTCGCAAAAAATAAAATAAAATTCGAACTTCCGGCATGTGAGGGCTGCTGACAGACAGAAATTTAAACTATTCTTATATCGTCCTATTCCGATGATGTAATTACTATTTAATTCCGTAACCAAATGTGATGATGTTGTTTATTTCAGTTGTGCTGCAGTCCTACGAAGCCCGGGTCGTCACTCAGTACGTGACTCGCCCGTTATGACGACACAAGTTTACGCAGCAAAGCAGGAAGTAACTCCTTCTGCAGTGGCACTGACGGACCCAATAAGCTGGAAGGTTGTAGTTATAAAAGGGCTGAGTGCTTCCGCCACTTATTAAGAGCTGATTTTCAAGACCTATTGACAGTATAAATCAGAGAACCAGAACAGAACCATCGCTATGCAAATACATAGGCATCATGAGGATGAATATACTGTACTACAACATTTTTTTTTATCGAATTTACTCGATTTTTGGCATCATGAGACCCACAAGAGATTTCGTTTCGGGGGAAATTAAAACTCCGTGTGCTGGGAAAGTTTGGAAGTTTTGTTTGAGGAATTCAGTAAAAAAAAATATTTCCAATCTCTCACGTATCACACACTTGAGGTGCTGACATGTGTTTGAACAGAGGTCAAAAGTCAAACATAAGCTCTTGCTCCTAGATTTATTTATAAAAAATTTAAGTGTTTTATTTGAGTTTAAATAAAATGATTCGAACCCCCGTTCAACTTACGCCAATTAATGTCAATACTGTATTTGCTATCATATTCCACAACAGAGTTTTTTTTTTTTTGGGTGAATAACCGCTTTAAAACATTTTTCTACAGCAAAAAAAAAAAAAGCCTTGACGTACAGAAAAATGTTGCCCTGGAAAACTACATATTGAAAATAAAGTTTACTAATTTGCATTTCACCGGAAATTAGCATTCAATAAATTTTTCATCATCAGCCGTCGTAGACCTTAAAAAGACAACTACGGTATGTATATGGAAAGATTTTTCGCAAATCTTTCAAGTACGACCCGTTAAATGTACAAATTACAAACCAAAAATCATGTCCTAAATTTGTGTACGAGTTCTGCTACCAGAGACTCACAACTACTCTCACTTTAATTAAATTATCGCTATGTAAAACCCGGTGTCTACAGTTCAAACTGGGCTTCTGGAAGATACGAGTAATTTGATCTATCAGTAAGTTACGAACCATGGCTCATTTTCAAGTGTGAATGAAAATCAGAAAAGAAGGTGTATTTTTTTTAAATAATATTATTTTTATTATTTTTTTTTTTAAATCATATTCCACACCGAAGTCGATTGGGGGTCAATAATCGCGTCAACAGTTTTCAACTGCGTAAAAAATCCCGCAATAAAAAAAGGGTGCGGAAAATTGAGAGTTTTGCTCGATATTTTTCAAATCATTCCGGTACAACTGTTGACCTTTCTTTGAGTTGCTCTTCTCGTGGTGACATGTGACTATACTGCGTTTGACGACAAGTTTTTTGATCAGTATAACACAGCATGAAAGACTGGAGGCTGCTGCATGGAGGGGCTTTTCAGGGCTCCACCTACATACATACAGTGGCTCGCGACGCAAACTGTCCGTTATGAGTCGTCAAGGTGCGAAACTAAGTTGTGTCAGAGGGCCTAAGAAAGTAGATAAAGGTGCTAATATACATGGTACAAAGGGGAGAAACTAAAAGGCCTTTAGGTCTACGGAAATTTCACATGTTGCCTTCGGGGGACCTGTTGGTGTTGGACGCGGGACGGCCGCTACAAGAAAGGCTCAAGGTGACGGCGAAGCAGTTGGCTGAGTGACCCCTTTGGAAGTACAGTTGGGCCGGGCCCTTTTAGCCTAAATTTTCAATCAACAAGAAAACAAGAAAGCTTGCGTTAATGTGCTTGGCTCCTAAGTTTTGTCAGTTTTTGACGGAGTCTTGCCAAATGGGCGTAGACGTTTCTTACAGCGCTTATATACTGCATATCACTTCTTCGCAATTGTTCTTATTTATGTCTGATAATAGATTGAAGAACCGGAAATTGGAAGTGATGCCGGTTCTGGTTCCGGAAATACGGTTCAAATGTAACACCGTGGGACATTGATTCAATCTTCAGCCATTAAAAGAGCATAACCAGTTTATCCCTAGTCAAAGAAAACATGTTCGTCGACGTCCAAATTTTGTAAATAATGTAGCAAAAGAAACGTGTTCTGATAAAATAATTTTGTGTCATTGTTCTTGGATCTAAAATCGACTGATGCTGAGCAATAAGAGCTCGAGTTAAGCAGGGTTGAAATTGACTAAACTCTTCACAAAACGAAGGAATTCAGGCATAATTTCCTCGCAATTTTTCTGATTCACGGTGTTTGTCACGAATATTTCAACGGATACATTAAATTCGATACGCTAGCTTTTGGAGAACCCGAATTCCCCGACGAATTTAGTCTTTCATTCGTATCTGTGTGGGAATCTCGGAAAACCTTGGTTCCCACAGATGGTCAGCAGCCTCCAAGGCTTTAATTCATCACAGATGTCCTTCTACAGCCTTCAAGGCTGTATTTTGTTACTAATTTCCGTTTGCCGTTTTTCGTCCTTGGAGGACAGTTTTCCTGTTTTCCAAACCCATCCTTTTTTCGGCAGTCCGAATCTTCAAGTCGAGAGA